TCCTCCCAAATTTCAAATACACCATGAATAAATGTATTTTGGACATTCTACATCTGTTACAGAAAAAATATCTAATGATTGGCTTATGCAATGTCCAATATTTATTGCTTCTATTTTTATGTTCTTCTTCCCATAAAGACAGGGATCTCAGTTTCCACAAAATCCAGCTCAATGAGGACTGGTCATTTAACATAATTAAAGCTAACTTAAAAGCAATAATGTAACTTAAAATGTTGCAAATTTAACTCAATAAAGGGCTGGATCCTCCATTACCACTAATACAGAATTCTCACTTCTAGTTCTAAAATGCTGAAGGACCATAACAAATCAAAGTGCACATACCAGTGGGAGGAATGTAGGTTGGCTTATTGGTGTGCATGATAGATGTAGTGCATGACATCACAGTATTTCACAGAAACATTACATCAACTGTTGTATTATAAAAGTTTAAAAATATAAAAGCGTTTTCAAAGCCTATACACAGATAAACACACTCACCCTTCTATACACACACACACACACACACACACACACACACACACACACACACACACACACAGAGTAAGCAGAGAATCCTACTATTAGTCATACAATTCTAATTTGGCTTGAAATTCAGGAATAATTGACAGCTAAAACTGCAAGAGATCCTCAAACAAAATACAAATATGTAATGGCAGTGTTTAAAGGTCCATGAATATAAGATTCAAACTTATAGTTGTCATTCTTTGAGGTCAGAGCTATCCTTGGGAGTATTTATTTTAAGGGAATAATAATAATAAAAAAAGATTTGTTTGGCTCAGGCACACCTTTTCCAGCTTACTGGACAAAAGATGAGTGTTGTGAATCAGTCTGGTAATCTGACACACACTAACTGGCTATGTGTTAATGTTATACATTTGTGGTCAAAGGTTACAGAAATAATATGACTTCATAAATCACTGAGTGAATTAGAACTATATTTGCTTGATTTTTGTTCAGTTCATGACTGATAAGGATTTTCTTCAATCCAAAGAGATATAAAGTCTGTTAACATGAATCTAATTGGATTTAGATGTTCAAGGAAAGGATGAAAATTATTTATGTCTCATCCTCAAAAGACTGGCATGTTAACATTGCATAAGTGGCTTTCTATGAATATCTCCTTAGAACCTCATGTAGTATCAATCCTTAGCGTAAATCAAAGTACTTACCTTAACTTCAACTAAGTAATGCCATACAAATCATATCAGCTGACCTGGTATCTCATTTTATAAGAGTAATGTTAACACTTACAAATGTTTTATTATATGTGGGGAACATTTTTCGTAACTAAAAAACTGCCACAGACCCGTGGCTAAGAGGTCGATGAAATCTGTATGGAGGTATTCTAGGGTTTAGGGAGCATTGCATATAAAGCTGTTTTTGGAACTTATGTTTGTTTTTCCATGATGCCAATATTTTGTTAGTGCATAGTTTTGTATGGCTCTTTTAATAAACAATGCAGAGGCAAAACAATAGGAGAGACTGACTATTTTTAGCTTTTAATTTTCCTATGAAAGTTCCGCGATTCCTGTGAAAGTGCCAGGGTTCATCTGGAAACACTTAATTTTTAAACTATTACTCTATTTATAGTACAGTATTTTGAAGGAGAACCAAATAAACTAAATGTATTGTTATTACAACTTTTTGTGCCTTAGACTAACCAAAAAGACAAAATGAAAAGGATCACAGACGGATGCAGAAAGACTTATAAGACTATAAACAATAATCTGGTTTCTTTGAGCAATGTGTGTTTTGAAACTAAGACAAATGAAGTAATGATGCATGTTTAACTGTACAATTAAAATCAACTTTCATAGTTCCAAATGGATTAACTTCAAAATTACTTTTCTACCGAAAAATCATTCCTGTATCTCCGTTACACGGTATCATATTACTGCAGACAATGACTCCTTTGTCATCTCCTTTAAATGTTTAAAGAACAGAGTGGCTCTTTTGAAATAAGTGATTCAAAGGATTTTATAAAGTAAACTTTAACGTTTTTGTATGAATTAAATATGAAGCAAAAATCACTTCCCCCATCATACGTAAATATGAGATTGACTCAACAGCCAATAAATAGGCTGAGTCATGTGGTGTTTGAAATCAAGGATATACCCTACATTTTGTGACATAAGCCTAGTTCCAATATAAGCCTACTTCCAAGACACTGGAATAGCAAGAAGGTGAAACCTGCTGAGTCTCCACTACTTGGAAGACTAGGGAAAATTCAGACTTATGGAAGGATGGAGAAATGTGGATAAAATTCAGCCCAAGTGAAATGGAAAAGGGTGGAGAGGCTGCTTATCAAATTATAGGGAGCAATCGGGTCCTGGTGTGTTGTTATAAGAAGCAACAGAATCCCCCAAAACTCAAAGCAGATGGGGATCTATCTGAGGAGAAGAGGGAGTGGGAAAAGAAATAGCAAGACCCAACAGAAATCAACTATTAAGAAAGATTGCTCTTTTGGCAAACAATTCAGACTTTTTGTTGAAAAAACAAAACAAGCCATTTCCCTGCCCCCCAAAAGCAAAAACCACCCCTCCCTATAAAAAACCCCAAAACAAAACAAAAAACAAAGAAAACACTAAAACAAAAATAAATCTCCCACAACTTGGGGGTTCAGAAAAATTCAAAACCAGAAAGCAGACTCTTCCTTTGAGAATTATACTGTATTTAAAATAAAACAAAACAAAAATATATTTACTATAAAAACAGAGGTTAAACAGAATGGGTGCTGACATGTGGTGGAGGGGTGGGGGTGGGGAGTGCTTTACTGGAAGAAGCAGCGTGTTAGTTGGACCCGGCTCCGCAGAGTCTATATAGATTGGGAATTTCCATGGGGCTTTTTGGTGCTTGTATCTAATAGCTGATTCAATCAAGCAATAAAAGTGACAAAAAAAGCCCCACTGAAGCGCTCAGTCTATACAGACATTGAGTGAGCTGGGTTCAACTAATACATTGCCTCTTCTGGGCATGTGCTGGGCTTGGAGTTTAAAGTAAGGCTCCGTTTTGGTTTTCTTTTTTACGTTTGTAAGCAGTCAATATTTCTGAGTAGCCCTAACCTCTCCCACTCTTCAAATAACAGTTAGCTGGATATTTTGTGACAACCCCCCACCACCCATAGTTTTGTTGCCAAATACCTATTGTTTGAATGAAAAGTATTATTGTAAATCTATCTTGGTGCAGGCTCAGGCAGGATACTGACAAGCCTGCCTAATTGGCTGATGGGCCGCTGGGGATTCCAGCCTACCAAAATCCCCAAATCTGGGATAGCCCCATCAGGACATTCTTTTTCCCTTGCGCTCTGTAGCAGCTACAGAGTTGAGAGCTTGGCAATACTGGAAGTCCTAGCAGTACAGGAAACTTGGTACCTCTATATTCTTTGATATTTCTAAACATCCCACAAACCATGGACTAGCCCAACTGGAAATGAGGCGATGATGGAGGACATCCTCACTGAGGTGTCATCACCTCCTTCCCATGTTTGATTTGTGTGGTGCAGGAGTAGGCAAGCAGGGCGTGCTTTTCAGTAGTAGACTCAGACATGCCAGGGAAGTCATGTAGACATGATCTTGGATGTCTGGGAACCATTACAGAGATAAAATTGACAAAAATGTCAGTTCCACTCAGCAGCTGGAAATGCCAGCGAGGGTATTTCATTTCATAACTACTCCTCTCAGCCCCCATCTCAAACCAATGTATTTATGTTTCCAATACATATGGAGGGGGATCAGTTTGTGTAACTAAAAAAAAGATCCTGAATCAGAAAAGTCAGAATTTCTCATGAAACAGAAATACTATGTTTCTGCCAACTTTACTTGCATTCCTTTCGGCCATTACTTGAAATTAACTAAAATGCCAAATTTCAGACCAAAATACATAACATCCTTTCTCCATTCCTACTACGTAAATAGTTTAATCTTTAAAACAAACTTTGCAAAAAAAACCTTTGCAAAAAAACCCATCTTTGAAGTTTCATATTTGATTAAAAAATATTTAAAGTCATTTAACTTTTTAAATATATACTCTTCTATATAAACAGACATAACATTAGAACATACTGCCAATATATTTCCACTACTCCACTGCAATTTTACTGTAAGAGCTCCACAAGGCAAAATTTCATTTAATTCATTCCAGGAACAAATCATCATGCTAAAATAAAGTTAATAAAACCTAGGTCTATATTCTATTATCTTAAAATCTGTACTACATTAATGTTGTGGTGACTTTTACCATTTTGTATTTAAGGTTAATTTTCAAGATATTACTTAATCATGACAATGTTTATTAAAACTGTCAAAACTGTTCGACATTTTATATTTCTACTGATGTTTGTTTTGTAAGCCTTGTTTATAATTCCTTGATTGAATTACCTAATTCACTTCATTGTCAAAACATTTCAAATTGTTTGAATTTATCTGAGTACGGAGAGTCTTCATTAAGTATTAGTTATGCTAACTCTCAGTCATTGTTTAGCCAAGTTATACAGACTTTCAGGTTTTCCTTATAAATCATATTCCCCAGCCTTATAATTTTTACTGTTCCCTAAATTCTTTCTAACTCATTTAAATCTTTTTGGCATGAAATTTTATAGACCTGAATGCAGCATTCTATATGTGATCCTTCCAGAACTATGAAGAGAAGGACCATTGCCTCCTAGCTAATTATGCAATAAATTTAGTCCAAAACAGCACGGCTTTTTCTGATGTTTCAAAGCAAAACTTAACTTCTTTTTCATTATTCTTGAAGATTATTTCCAGTGTTACAACATCTACTTTTTCAAGTCTCCTTACCCTCAATTCTCTTTCTCGGTAATCTACCGTGGGAATTGAGCTTGCCTACTTATCTAGGATCTCTAATCATTTCTTCATCATCTAAACACTTGAAAGTGTTTAGTCTGCAAGGTCAAAAGCCTGGATTTTCCCTGTTTTCTTGTATGTAAGCAGATAAGAAACTTACTGATTATTGCATCTTACCAAGTGTTCGGAAAGGCCTTTGGTTTGGCGTATGTGAGAAGAAACCAGGTTTCAAAGCATTTGTGATCACAATGTCAAAAAACTCTGCAAAATCATTCCTAGAAAGAAAGAGTCAAATGTTTCATGTCACTTTACTTGCAGATGTTTTATGCTCCCTGTTTCATCACAATCCATTATCTTCCATGTTAAAATTAAAGTATCGCTGCTACTCTTTAGACGTCCCATGACACTAACCCCTATTATTATTGCTTATGTATATTACCATGGTGTCAGTCATGAAGCAAGGACCTATTGTAGTAGGCACCATGCAAACAACCACTAATCAATACACTGTCCCTGCCCCGTGGAGTTTATAATCACAATATGAGAGACAAAGTATGGTATAGAGCAGAGCTTTCCAAACTGTGTGCCACGACACATTAGTGTGTCGGCGGCAGTGTGTAGGTGTGTCGCGCGAAATGCAGAAAATTTTGAGGAAGGGCACCGCAGAGCTCCCTTACTCGTGTCTGCTTCCCTTGGCCCCTCCCCCGGAACTGAATTACTGTGTCGCGAAATGATGCATGTCTAAAAAGTGTGTCACCAGCATGAAAAGTTTGGAAAGCTCTGGTATAGAGGCATGGGGAGTACATGGAAACAATGACACAAAACAGGCCTGGCAGAGGGAGATGAACTTCAAGCTTCCTACCAAAATGCCTCAGTCCTGTAAACTTGCTGAATTCATTGTTCATTTTGAAGGATGGTTTTCTTCTAGTTTCTATGTTAAAACTGATGTTTTAAAAAAGGTTCCAATTACAGGATGACCACTTATGGCAGGGGCATGCAATTATTTTGGCTGGAGGGCCGCTTAACGAGTTTTGGTAAGGCGTCGAGGGTCACAAGGGTAGCCTTACCCCTTGACAGGTACCCCAACCCCTGGTTACCATCTTGTGACCGGAAATCCTGCACCCTAACCCCTGACCTTTGACACTGGGACTCTCTCCCCTTGCTCAGGAAGTACTCATATTGGGGTGGGGGGGTTGCTTGTATACTGTGTGTGGAACAGTTGTGGGGGTTGGGGCATTTCCAGCATTTGCTGGTCTCTGGGCAAATGCAGGGGTGTGACCTGCGGTGGGGTTTGGGTCACAAGCAGTGGCCTGCAGGTTATCAATCTCTGCTACAGTGTAGATTCAGCAGATGCTAGAGGAAGGGTTGTTTTTTTTTCCTGCTGGCATCCCCACCTGCTGGAAACACCTAAGCTCAGTTGACAGTTGCAGCCACACCAGGAGCTTTGACAGTGTAGCTATGTCAGTAAAGGAGTGTGATTTTTTTTTTTTCTTTTTTCCCCACATTCTAGCTGTCGCTGCTATGCCAGCAGAACTTTGTAGGGCAGATCTGACCCCCATCTGATAAAACAAAGGGGAATCAAAGACATGAAATACAGCATAACTATCTTGCAAAAATCTAGTTGGCCTAATAAAAGATATCACCTCTACCACAAGTCCTGATTCCTTTTTGCCTCTACACCAATACAGCTACAACCTGGATACCCAGCAGCATAACTATTCATCGGTCCACCTGAAATGCTAAAAGCTATAGGAGCAAAGTCAGCCAGACTGTATTCCAGATGTATAGATTAATAACAGTATGTATTGCTGACCTTTGACATACATTATAAAGGAATCGGCAATACTAATAGAAGAAAAAGGAATTGTTTCAAGTTGCAGCAAGGGAAATTTAGGTTAGATATTAGGAAAAACTCTCTCACCAGGGAGGTAGTAAAGCACTGGAACAGGTTACCCACAGAGGTTATGGGGTCTCCATCGTTGGAGATTTTTAAGACCTGAATGGACAAGCCCTTGGCTGGAATGATCTAGTTGGGGAGGGTCCTGCTTTGAGCAGGTTAGACTAGATGATCTCCTGAGGTTTCTTCCAACCCTAATTTTCTATGATTCTGTGAAATTTGCAATCCAGGAGTTATGAGATGCATGCTTTTGATGAATAGCTATCAAAAGGAGTTTATCAGCTCAGTTACTGAATTTGAAAAAATTACTGCAGAAAGATGTAATAAAATTATTGAATGGATCTTGTCAAAGTTAAAATCTGAGACTGTTCCTTCTGGTCTTTAATTTTGGTGCATGGTAATATTAAGATATGTGACAAAATAGTGCATCAGAAATGTGATCAAATGAAGAAGAGGAAGGAAGACATCTGGAAAGGATTTAGGGAGAGCCACTGTTTTGAAGGCTAAAAATAAAGAGCAGTAACTAAAGATGTGATTAAGTAAATTTGCTATAGAAAGGATGAAAGTAAGGTAGCGGTGACGAACCCTCTTTTTATTTCTACATCTTCATGTATCCTGAAACAACAATAGCTAAATTCAAGAAGCTATTCTGACATAAGACAAAATACACGCATCTGTTAAAACTTGTTTATAGTATGGCCAGCAGAAAAAGCACTTTGTAGGAAATACTGCAATTGTTAAAAACCCATCTTTCATCTTCTTTTCACCATGTGACTTTCTCTAGAAAGCAGAAAATGACAATGTGATTAAATCTCTTTCTGTGACTCATTCAACAGAAAACAGTTGAAGTCTGACCTTGCTAAAAACGTGCTGCATTTCAGTTCAAAACAATAATTTCTTCTTGATCTTTTTCTTTTTCAAAAGTGTTTTTTAATCTGGGATACATCTCATTTGGCTTAAAGGAATTGGGATACTTTGCTCTTAATGAGATGGTAATATGCTAACTTTATTTTCAGTTTTCCAAGTCAACGGAAATGTAATGCTGTTCTCTGCTTGGTATCTACTTGGTAGGTATATTTTTGTGATGCACACAATTTTTAGTTGCACATTATAGATTACTGGAATTAAGAAGTTAAAACTAGACTAGACATGCCACCTCCCTCTGTCTTTTCTTTAACTATAGGTTTTTGTTAGAATATATTCAGAAAACAGTTCTGAACTCCTGAATACCAAAAAGTTATTGACAAATTGAAAATTGAATGGAAGTCTGAGAAGAACAAGAGCAATAACAACAGGTTAGGGAAGATTGGTTTATCAGAACATGCCAAGATCAAAGTATGTATGTAACAAAGTATGTTATTCAAAGCTAAGGGGTGAGAGACAGCAGTCAACTATGAACACTATTTAAACAGAGTAAGCCACAGTGAAATAGATAAACAGTTTAGAGGCATTCAAAGATGGTAATCAGAAGTTAGGATGCACACCATGAAAAAAATAAATCCTAACAATAATGCTAGTAGATTCAGAGTTAGATTCCCACTAGAAACATTGGAAGCCATGTTGACTGAGTCATGCATAACAGTACTGCAATAAACACTGAAGAGGAGAGTATAAGCCATAATCCTGCATTGGCAAAGAGCTGGATAAGATGATCTAGTGAGTTTCTTTTAACTCTAATGTTCTGTGTAGGACTATATTTGAGAGAGAAGGGAAATCCTTCATGTAATATTTACCATCTTCTTCCATCATCCCTGCACATTAGCCAAAGATTATTAAAGCAATAAATATCCAGCTTGAAATATTCCTGTACACAAGC